ATGGGCACAGCGAGTCCCCTCATCATTTCGGAGCTCTACCCGATGTGCCTGCGATGATGAAGGAAGAAATTCGAGGATCGCAGGATTCAGCAAGTAAGGTTTTAAGTGCCTGTAACTGGGGTTACAAGCCATTCTAGGGTATTTTAAACTGGGGTTATACGGACCTTATAGATTGGGGTTGTAAGTCAGTATAAGTACACTTACCTTACTTGATAACAAAGGAAGAACTTAAGAGTTCAGAGTCTCCAGGGCTACTATAGCTTGAGCCCTAGATAGCCTATCTTTCTCGGGCTCCTTTGTATGATTTGCTTACAAAGAGTCCTTAGAAGGCGGTCCGATTATTCTATAACCTATTCTTAAGCGTTCTTTGGTATGATTTCCTTAGAGAAGTCCTGAACAAAGGTAGGTTCTTTAGATCTTTCTAGGGTTCCTTGTTTCTGATTCCCTTGTGAAGCCTCCCAGCTATCTTCTTCAGGGCCCAGGTACAGCAGGGCTTGTAGGGTTCGGGCAAGAGTTTGCCCTCAGCGCTGGAAGTTTCGACTCGGAAAGGGCACTCTGCAGGCATCCAGAGTGTTCTTGGAGGGGCAGGGGACTTCGTAGGTGGGTTATAAAGTAGAGTTATAAGCACCCTAAATGGAGTTACCCCAATTATAGCCCGACTCATAAACGGCTTATTGAGTCCCCTGCCCCTCCAAGTAGCATCGAGGTTTAGGGGTTTTGTGTTTGGGGGTTTAGGTGCTTAATGGTTCTTGTCACAGTTTAGGGTTTAGTAGGCTTCAGGGTTGAAGGGTTTGTGAATAGTTGACGACATTATTCCTTAGCGTTCCTTAGCATAGTCCTACTATGCTGGGCCATCCAGGCCCGGCTCCACATATTGACATAAAAACGGTATTATCATGGCTCTTCCGAAGTTGTGGTGGTCCATGTTTCGGTATCCTAGACCACATGGAAAATACCCTGCCGGTAACCCCTACACCTCAACTGTAACAGCCAACCCCTAACCCTACCAACAAGGCCCCTTAGCAAAAGCAACGAAAGCCAGAACACTTGAAGGGAAAGTACCCCGAAACCCTAAGCAGCATAAATAAATATCCTTCTAAAGCCTAAACCCTGTTCACTGCACCCCTTCAAAAAACCTTAAGCCCTAAGCGGCAGAAGTCTCCCTAAACCGAAATCCTAAACATAAACCCAAAACCCTAACCCCTGTAATTACCCAGGTATGGGACGCATGGCGTCCTCAGCTTGGCGAAGTTTTGGAACCTGCTAGGTTTCATGGGGATGCTTGGAAGAAGCAGTCTTTTTGCCGTAGGTTTCGGGTTCAGGGTGGCCAAGGGCCACCATATGCTTACTATAAGGGGCTCCTCAAGGGATCTCGAGGGTTGGGCAACATTTTGAATGTTCATGTGTACTTAAACCCAACAAGGAACACAAATGTACATGTTAATTCCTATCCCAGCCATGAACTAGAACTGTACTCCACTCAACCCAAAACTCTAAGCTCTGATCAGTGTCGACGTGGCGTCTGAAAAGTAGATGTTGGGGGACCCAACAGCTCTATTGAACTGGAACGCCAAATCGTTCCTCCATGGAAGCGCACCGACATTGGCTCCAAACTGTTCAACACTAATCTAGGGTTCTGTGGTAGAGTCTTGTATCATGTGTTAAAAAGTCCTTAGAATGCATGCACGGGCTGATGCTCAGCTTCCGGCCTTCATGAGGCTTTCCCTAAGTGGGAGTAGTAGCTTCGGGTACTGAGGAAGTCCCCACCCACTGGCCTTGAAGAGGCTCGCTGCGCCGACCTCCGCCCCCATGGCTTCAACTGGGTTTAGGGTTCAGGGATGTTTAGGGTTATAGGGTTTAGGTTTCCGCCCCATGGCTTCAACTAGCTGATTATAGATAAGAAACTAGGTATCGGTTCGGGTAATTTTTGAATTTTGTGTATGGATTATATTTTGAGCCCTTAAAGATGAAAAAGGGATATTTTTTAAATGTCCGCCACTGTTGAATATAGAGCCCTAACTATACATAGTTTGGAGGACAGGGGGACATCGCCACCTAGTCAAGCAGTGTCTCAGAGTTTCCAAGCTTGAGAAGTTTCGGATTTGGAGTGTAGGGTGCAAGGGAGGGTTTCTAGGAAGATCGTGATGCTGGGGGTTCTGGGTTTGGGGTTCGGGGCTTCAGGTTTGGGGTTTAGGGCTTAGGGATCACATGAGCCAAGGTTGCTATGTGATGCCGCACCAGCTGAGCGATCTCCTGGATGGCAACATTTTTCTTTACAGGCCTTCTTGCTACTACAGGGGCCTTTTGGTACTTAGGGTTGCGTTCGTAGTATAGCTAGAACAAGGCCAGGAATCCGACGGAATAATGCATGTAATTCTGTTTACAGGCTTCCCTTTCGCAGGCATGGAGTGCTTTTGCTGAAGCGTATACTTAAAGGTCTGCAGTTCCGGGTGTGGGGTTTAGGGTTTGGGGTTTTAGGGTTTAGGGCTTTAGGGTTCATTTTTTCAGGGTTCAGGGTTTAGGGCTTGTGCAATCGCCGAAGGGTTGAGACGCAATAAAGTCGACCATGTACGGGTGCTTGCTGGAATGGCCTTGAGCAACTGAGGGCTTCATGCTTCAGGGGTGCCCTAAGCCTTAAACTTACCTTTGGTTACTAGGGAATGGAAGAATGGTAGTAATAGTAGCTATAAGTGTACCCCATTCCTCCATTCCCTTATACTGACCAAAGGTAAGTAAGCCCTCAACCAGCAACCCCGCATCGTAAAACCGCAGCCAGGTTGCTTCTTTCCAGGCGTTGGGTTTACCGACGTGCGTACCCGAGCCCTAACGCCCAGTACCGGAAACCAAAACTCCATGAACAGCCCCTCAACCTCGAATCCCCGAAACTCCCAAACCGTAACCCCGAAACCCCCAAAAACAAAACCCAAATGGAGAGCGCCCTACACCTAAACTTAAAGCCCCATCCCCAAAATCCCTAACCGTGAACCCTGAAGCCCTAAGCCCCAAGGCTCCCAACTCTTTTGCCTTATTGACTGTAAACTAAGCTTTTCAACTTTTGGGGTTCTTATAAGGTAGTCGATTCTGAAAGTTTCAACTTTTATTTCCTTGGGTTTGGGCCAGTGAGTTACCGTAACCCAGAACCCTGAAAGAGTAAAGTCACAGATTAGGGACCCAAAAAGCACATAAGCATCAGCTTTTGTAGGGATATCCCAACCATGTTGGGCTTCATCATAAGGGGGTTTATATGGGACATCCCTCGCCTAATGTTTGCTTATGTGCTTTTTTGTGGCCCCAACAGACTCCGAGCCCCGATCCGAGAAGCGCTTCTTCTATAAATGGAGGCTTAGGCTTCGGGGCTTTAGTAGGGTTTAGTAGGGCTTTTAGGGTTTCGGGGTTTAGGGGTTTAGGGCCGTTTAGGGTTTATAGGGCGTTTAGGGTTTTAGGGCGTTTAGGGTTTAGGGCGTTTAGGGTTTTAGTGTTTGGAGTTTCCATCCTTTAAGAGCTTCAACTTCCAAGGCCAAGCTTCGGGCTCAGGTTTTATGGGTATAGGGTTGAGGCCCGAGAGTCAAGGGTGTGTTCCCGTTTGGGATCCAAGCCCCGTACTCCGCAAAAAACTCAATCCTTGGGCGCTTCTAAAGGCACCAAAGCTACCCCGAAACCTAAACCCTTATCCCCAAAATGCCCGAGGCCTTAAGCAAACCCTCAATCAAACCTGAAGCCTTCAAGCCCTGCATAAGCCCTCAGCCCTCAAAACCTTGCGTCTTCAAGCCCAAAACCGCAGCCGTACGGTTTATAAATCCTGCGTTACCTTAAGGACCCTAAACTAAGGGAATTATGGTATATTCCTTATTATGGGTAATGCAGGGTCTATATCATCAACCGTAGGATATGGGCACCAACACCTGACAGGAACCCTTGAAGGAACCCCTAGCAGAACCCCTTAAGGGAACTCTTCCAACGGAGCGGGAGTTTCCGAAAACAGAGGACCCTAGTATAGTAGGATCCTCATTATAAGGACCCCAAAATAAGGCACCCCTAATTGTCGGAAACTCCTTATCTGACCTTTGGTTAGTAGGGAATGGAAAGAATGGTCGTAATAGTAGTTATAATTGTACCCCATTCCTCCATTCCCTACTAACCAAAGGTAAGTTATAGGTTGGGTACGGCCCCCACTCAGTAACAGTTGGATAATATTCATAATATAGATATATAAGGCCCTTAATAGTAGCCCTATTATAGACTGTTACTGTATGGGGGCCGTACCCAAGTTATAGGAACCTTTGATGGGAACCCGATCCTTCGGTGCCTTGAAGGTCGGAGGACGCTTTGCCCTCCAGCCTGACCGAAGAGAAGAAGGCTTACTTAGAGGATCATGGGACTTCGTAAGTAAGGGTTCTTAAAGGGCTCCTTAAAGGGATGTATATAGAGTTCCTTAAAGGGATCTCTAGGGTTTAGGGTTTAGGGTCTACTTGGAGGATCATGGGACTTAGTAAGTAAGGTTATAAGTCCCATGATTGGGGCTCTAAGTAATTATAAGCATAGTTACCTTGTTTATAACCCTAGTTACTAAGTCCCATGAGCCTTTATGTAGAGGGAGGATTTTGGGGCTTTAGCCAAAGGCCCTAAAGTAGTTCCTTTTTGGGGTTCGTATATAGAATCTTAGAAGGTAATGCCAAAAAGGAACTACTATGGGGCCTCTGGGTAGAGTAGGGTTGACAGGTTTAGGGTTTAGGGATTTGGGGTTTAGGGTTTGGGGTTCAGGGAAAAGACAGAGATTCGCTTTTCGAGATGGGGGTATGTTGGGAGGTTTGGAGTTTAGGGTTCAGGGTTTGGGGAGATCTTTGGATATCATAGGTGCGGGTATTTCGGAGGTTTCGGGTCTGTTTGGGTTAGGAGAGATTTGATCTGGTTTAAGTACACACACAGGTATTTCGGAGGCTCTCCGTGTAGGGTTTAGGATTACATGCGAGAAATTTCGGTCTTAAATCTGAGGGTCTTAATCCGGGCTAGAGGACTTTGGGGCGCAAGTGTTGGGATTGTCGTGCTGTCGGGGCTAACAGTTGCAAGTCAGCAGAGCGTTTTTGCCTCAAGGTTCGGGCTTCAATCGTGAGCTCTGCAAGATGCGAGAAAACCCTAAACCCCAAACCCGTAAAACCCCAAGCCCTAAACCGCAAACCCTAAAACCCCAAACCCTAAACTCTAAACACTGAAGCTCCCTAAACCCTAAACCCTAAACCCTAAACCCTAAACCCTAAACCCTAAACCCTAAACCCTAAACCCTAAACCGGGCCCTTTCAACCGGGGGGAGCCCTGAAGCTTCGAATGGGAGCTTCTCGGACCCAAGCGGGTACGAGAGCCAGAGCCACAGTACTACGGTTGCTGTTGACCTAGGGTTCCTTTAAAGGGATCTATAAGGGGTACCTTTAAGGGGCTCCTGTAAGGGATCTAAAGGGTTTAGGGTTTAGGGTTGATGATATAAAATCCTGCATTACCCATATTATGGTATATACTTATAGGGCATTTTGGGGGTCTAACGGTTGATGATATAATTCCTGCATTACCTTAAGGACCCTAAACTCTGGGAATTATGGTATATTCGTTCTTATGGGTAATGCAGGGTTTATATCATCAACAGTATTGTGGATTTAGGTTCTTCCCAAAACATTCATTAGAATGGACTTTGGGGGTCTATCTCCATACTGGCATCATCTTTGAATTCTGCTGGATAGCAAGAAGAGCGGGATTGCAATAGTAGTAACAAGAGAAGTAGTTCAGTAGTGAGATGGTGTGTCAGCGTCAAACTCAGAAAAAATCACGGTGTTGCGAGCAGGAGGATGCGGTGTTTTCCCTCTTCCTCGAGCGTGAGCTGCACCATGGTCGGAAAACCCTAAAGGGAACTCCAGAAAGTTGGAATATCGTTTCAGGGTAGGATCCCCTATAATTTACCTTAAAGGGGTTACGATAATGATATTCCAAGTTTCTGGCTTCTACTGTAAACCCTAAACCCTATCATCAAAGCAGACAGCGAACATAACAGGTTTCGGTTGCGTACGGCCGGTTTGATCGTGATGATGCTTTTTACAGGTCTTACTGCAGTTTAGGGTTTCGGGGCTTCTTACTGTTCAGTTGCTTGTCGTATTTGTAGCAGAAGGCTTCAGATCTTTGATTTTTAAAGAGTGCTGGCCGTTAACCAAGCTGTCCTAAACAAAGGGACGCAGAACCTTCCCGAGGTCGGCGTATAAACAGAAGCTTGTGTGAAGTGCATGGAAAATCGCATGCCCCAAGCCTCAAAATGGCGCCAAAACAGACATCCCAAATCCAAGGCCGCACATTTTACGCCCGGCAGTCCGTTGAATAACTACAAGCACAAACTGCCCTGCCATCCCAACTGCCCTGCATCTCTCGTCCCATGCCGCAGGCCTCGTGTCCTCAAGCCCTACATGAAGTAGCGTTTAAATTACCTGTTTTGGTGAGTGTAGATAGGGCTCCCTTTCAATATTGGTGAGTGTATATATTGGGCTTAATTTATTATGGGGGTACTAGTAATATATAGTAATATAAACCATACATTACATCTTAAAGCCCGAACGCTGAACCTCTGAACCCTGAAACCTTACTTAGACGGCTATGGTTGCCCCTATAGCGGAACGGCTAAAGCAAGCCCAAAGCCTTAACAGCCCCTAAACCCCCGGAACCCTCAGAACCCTAAACATCTAAAGCCATTCATCCCCTGAACCCTAAACTCTAAACTCTGCACCTTAAACCCTAAGACCCCAAACCCTAACCGCACGAAACAGGAGCCCACTAAACAACAACAAGAAAAAGGAGTCCTTAACCAAAGACAAAAATTCAACCCAAGGCATCTGAAGCCCTTTATCCGATCGGCCGGCCGGTCATATTCCCTGCTGGCGGAGGGCCGTAGTGGAATGCTCCTCGGAGTCTGCGGACATTTGTTAGGCTTTGGGCTTACTTGGAGGATCAGGGGACTGAGAAAGTAAGCTTATAAGTGCCCTTATTGGGGTCATAAGTAAGTTATAACTATTATAGTTACTTTAATTTATAAGCCTAGGGCCTAGTGACAAAGACCCATGATCCTTTAAGTGGGGTCTCAGAGCTGGCGCAGATTTTCTGGTTTGAGCTGAAGGTTTGGGATTTCTCTCTGATTCTAGGGTTTCGGTTTGCAACTGTCATTCACGACGCACTCACTGTATGGACAAGTTGATCACGCTTTGTTCATGCTTTGCTGTGGCTGTGCTTATTTTGTTTCACGGTCGCTGTTGTCTTTCGAGGTGGATGGTGGCAAAGCCCTGCGAGCAAATCCCAGAGCTTTGAGAGGATTTCGGATCAGAATGAAGGGTTTCGGCTCGAAGTGGTTGTGAGCTGTCCTAAACCCTAAATCCCTAAACCGTGATGGTCAGTGTTGAGGTCGTCATCGGCATAGTAGCGATGATGCTGTTGGTGATGACGCAATCGAGGAATGCGACCGAATATAGAGGCCTAAATAGTTACCTGTACTATTTTGGGGGTTCCTTATTATAGTTTTGCATAATGGCCCCAAAACCCTATTCTAATTTTCAAGGCCCCCATAGTATGCCCTCTCTGTCACACTGGACCGTGAACACTATTTAAATTCAGAGGTCTAAGCCCACTTCCTCCTTTTTCTGAGTTTCTGTCCAGTATCCTGCTCATTTTTCGCATTCTCTGCTCCCCGAGGTTTCAGAGAAAGGATACCTACGAGGCCAGCTGACATCAACCGATGAAGTGCTGTTTTGGGTTTTCAGGGCTCAGGGTGTCCGGGCTTCATGGCCTCGTGCGAGCTTGCGGGGCTACGTTTTGTGTTCTTCCATCTGTCTCAAAATACGAGACAGGGATGCACACAACAGTTACTGCTGAAGATCGCTAACATAGGATTTCTTTACGGGCGGCTTTTCGCCTACAAGATGTATCTTAAGGGTTGTGATACAGAGTTTAGTGATGGGTCGGCATCATGAAGTATACTTATCCTGAGCGTTCCTTGTTAGAGAAAAGAATGAGACCCCTCAACGGCCTCTTCAACTTACCGCAATACTAGGTCATTGAATATGAAGCCACCCTCCAAAAACTCAACATGACACAGCTTGGTTTCAACTATCATGGCCCCTGAGCCTGCAACTCTGGACTCGGAGCCCTTCTCCAGAGCCCTAAACCCAACACCCTCAACGGTAGGCAGCCTAAAACATGAAGTACGCCAGTAAGCGCAGTCTTGGCAAAGAAGCCTTTAGGGGGTGCAATGGGAATTCAGGAGTCTACGCTTTAGGGTTTAAAGGTTTATGGCTTCTACGGTGTCGGGTTTATGGTTTACATAACTGGATGGTTCAGGGTTGACGTTTAGTGTTTCGGGTACCATCTTGCCTGGTTAACGAATAAACTTAAACGGCTTGCGGTGGCCAGCTCTTCAACATCAGCACCATCCCAGTGGCAGCAGCCGATGCTCGGACCGCGTTTACCCTAAGCCCTTAAGCCCTAACCTCATCTCAAAACTCAGGTCTAAGGCCAACCTGGGAATCCCAGGCATACTTTGGTTCTCTCTATCTCTATCTAAACCTCTATCTCGATCTCAATCTCTATCCCTAACTCCATGCTCTATCCCCATCTCTGTCTAGATTTCGATCTCTGTCTGTATCTTTTGTTTGTAGACTTTAGCTTCAGCTCCGTAGAAAAGTCCCTTCCTCTCAGCTTGGACCCGAAAGCTCGAAATGCTTTCTCCCGCCCGCCGTCCCAAGTAGCCCAACCTCAGAGGGGACCAACACCCTAAACCTCGAACCCCAAACCTTAAGCCCTAAGCCTTCATAGCACCCTTTGTAAGGGCCCCCGTACCCTGAACCTTAAACCCTCGTCGTACCGTTCCAAGAGCCCCTATACGACCGCCGCAGCCCCGAAGCCCGAAGCCTTCATTTGAGCACGGTTTAGGATTTAGGGTTTAGAGCTTAGGTTCAGGGTTGGGGGATTTAGAATCTTAGTTTGACGAGGCAGATACTGTCCGGCTTGATCCAACCGCCGAAGTGGTCCTGCTGCGCGGCTGCTGAAGTCCTGGGTTCAGGAGTTGGGATTGTAGGGTTCCTTCATAGGGATCTATAATGGTTCTATTACGTAGGGATCTATAAGGCTTAGGGTTTCAGGGTTTAGGGTTTAGGATGTAGGGTTCACGGGGTGTAGGGTTCAGGGTTCCGGATTCCCTGCTAGGGTCTGTCCCTACGCCACAAGGGTGCAGGCGTTTTTTATCCCAGAAGTGCTTTTCCCATGCATCTGTGTGCTCTACTGCTAGATTGTCGCATGGGCATCACAGTTGGATCAGCGGTCGACTGCAATCCTCTTGACAAGAACCAGTAAGTTTTAAACGAAAGAGCTAGTCAACCCAGGATTCATTTGCTTTCCCTCATGGATATAGACTGCGATGCATGTTCGCAAGGATAGTTGCAATGGTTGTGAGTTGTGATGATAACGGCTAAGATTTGGGGCTCATGCTGGTATGATGGTATGACTGAGCCGGAACAGTTTCCCAGCATCAGCCGGCACATGTGAAACACAAGAAGTGGGAGCTTGGGAATGGAAGTAAGTTGTGGCAGGACGGACAGAGGCAAGGAGACAGCTTACAGAAGCACCATGCAGGCCATCGGTACAATGATGAAGAGTTAGCAATGTCAGTATGTAGGTGCATATCTGCGGAGGTATAAAGGTATGCACACATACATGGATATAGAGGTCTGGCTCATACGTACACACATACATATACGCATGTGTGTATATATATATATATATATATATACATACATACATACATATATATATACACATACACACACACATATATATAATATATATATATATATATATATATATATATATATATATATATATATATACATACATATACACACATGTTATATGTGCACACACATACTATTCATATACATGTATATGTGTATATCTGTTTGTATCAGTTTATGCATGTGTATACATATATATATATATATATATATATATATATATATACATATGTACATTTATAGATCGACAGATAGACAGATACATAGATTGATTGATAGACAGAGCTCGAGCACGTGTAGCCAAGAGGCTTCCAGTTGATTTCTTCGGCCGCTGCCGCGAGCAGTTCAGCTGGCTCCTCGTAGACTTGGCTTCTCGACCGTTGGTTTAGTTGGGGTTTCGGGGTTGGAGCTTAGGGTTCTTTGCTCCTTGTAGACTTGGCTTCTCGACCTGGGTTTAGGGTTCTCGACCCTTGGTTTTAAATTTAGCTTCTGGGTTGTTGGTAGGTTTCGTTTCGAGGGCTTACTAAGCCCTAGGGTTTCGGGTTGATGGTCCAAGGTTTTCGGGTTTTCTGGCAGATGGTGTTGTAGTGGCAGAGGCGCACAAAGGAGCATTGTCCGTAATACTTTCTGGGAAAGCTAGATCAGATCGGTTGGTATGACAAGGATGGCGATGATATGATATGATATGATATGACATGATATGATATGATCTGATCTGATATGATATGATCTGATGATGACTGATTAAACTTTGATGCTGATGCAGACAGTGATGAAGCTCATACTCGTCGTAGGGCGAAGACCCTCATGATGTTGATGGTGACAATAATGATGGTGTCAACAACGATGACGACGATCACAAGTACCCTGCTGGGATCTGCCGGTATTTGCCGGTCCTACCATTCAGTGCCGGTGTGCCTGTAGAATTTTGGTCCAGGGCGATGCGGGTTGGGCGGTTGAGGCTTACAGGCAGGCGTGCTTGAAGGATCATGGGAGTTAGTAGGGCTATAAATAAGGCAACGATACTTGTAATTACTTATAACCCCAATTAGGGTACTTATAACTATACTTAGTCAGTCCCCTGATCCTCCAAGTGTGATACTTGGACACCCTGAATCCTAAGCCCGACGAAGGCCCTTACCTCGGGCCCCAAGCAATCTCGAACTCCAGATCTGTTGTCAAACACTGAGGGTTTAGGGGTTTAGGGTTTAGGGTTTCGGATTTATAGTAGTACCGAGCTTAAAGGGTCCTAAGTAATTTCGAACCCCAAACTCTGAGTGGAAACGCTCTTCAACTTGTTTTTTTTTTGCGAGCCTGTAACTTCAGCCCGAAGCAAGGCTGAGTAGCTGCTACACTCTCGACCCGACTGAAATCCTCACCAGTCGATCTCTATAGAAATCTTACACAAAGAAGCTCTCTTGTCGAAGCCCCGGGCCGACATTCGTATAGAAACCTTTGTAGCAACCTGCCAAATGCTTCTCAGGTTCCTAAACCCTAAACTAACCCTAAACCCAACTCCTGAACCCAAAACCCTAAACCCTAAACCTATAAACTCTAAACCCTAAACCAGTTGCTTCCCAGGTTCAAGTTTTGGAGCTCACCTTGAACCAGGGCTTTCGAAATATCACCTTGATAGAGCCGCTTCTCCACCACGTGGTCGAGGCGGGCGAAAAAAGCCAAGAAGCCCTACAGACGCCTCTTCAGAAGGTTTGTCAAGTTATCGGTTTAGGCTTCAGGGTTTAGGGTTTGGGCCAGAGGGTATTTGTGCATCCTGCTACGAGTCCGGTTGTGCACATGCGCGCAGATGCACACCACTGGTCCAAGGTTGCATATCTCGAGTCATGGCCAGTATGACTCATTACTGTGGTTGCATACCTCTCAGTTACTGCCGCTATCATCACTTGTTGTCGTTGCTGCTGCTGCTGCGGGAACGTTCACTTTTGACCATCGCTGTTGACACTTTCTGTTCCAATCCACGATCTCTCCCTAGCTTGGTGGTAGCGTCATGGTCTTGGTGTTTTGTGATACTTGTCATGTGCGCTATGAGTTCTAGCAGTTGTTGTCTGAGTTCTCGTCCCCAAAAGCCCCGGTTTCGGGCTGCACTTCTTGTGCGAACAGACATGCTGGCATTAACTACCATTTGCTTAAGAAACCCCCAAAAAATAAAAATAATAATCCCTATATTACCCCCATAAGGAATATATTTTTTTATTTTTTGGGTGTTCTTAAGCAAATAGTAGTTAAGCGGAAAACCAAGCCCCACCACCCCAAACACCTGAACCCAAAGCCCGGTTTGCCGACGTGTTGTTGGCTTCTTGCTTTCGGTGCAGCCATGCGACTCCATCTTTCCTCCCGCCCCCGTCCTTTGCCTACTTGGAGGATCAGGGGACTTAGTACGTGGGGTTTATAAGTCCCCTAATTGAAGTTATAAGTATAGTTACCTTATTTATAACCCTAGTTACTAAGTCCCATGATCCTTTAAGTACAGAGTCCTACCATGAAAGGAAGCGCTATACACACATCCAGAGCAGTGGGCAGAGCTCACGGCCAACAGGACGGGCCTTGTGCATCGGCATGGCATGCTTGACATTGATACCAGGATAGTCCCCCCGTGTAAGCGCAAGAAGAAATCTGAAATCGGGGTCTGTGCATGGAGCCTTTCAGTGAGCCATTGCATGGGTCTTAGTGGGCTCCATGTATTCGGTGCATGCACTGCCCGACGACGACGACGACTACAGTACTTCTGCTGCTACTGCTACTGCTACTTCTACCGCTACGGCTTCGGCTGCGGCTACTGCTACGGCTACTGCGACTTCTACCACCGCGATGGTGAAAGCTTGTATTCTTGTGAAATTTGCTTGGGTTCTGGAGCCTTGATGTGATTGCTGCCAGGAACAAGCTCATCACCGTGATAGTCATGTGATGATGAGGATGAATGGTAATCAGCATGTTGTTGTTGGTTCTTCTCCCGCTGTTGCTGTTGCTGCTGATAATGATGATCCTAAAGCCTAAACTTAACCCGGAACTCCTAAGCTCCTGAACACTCATCGCAGAAATCCATACACACCATGCATGTACGACAAGGGGTATATGCATGATCCGACGGAGTGGTCCAGGCTCAGACTGTCCTGTAGAAGCCTAGAGCCTGGGGTTCGCGAGTGAGTCAACTTTGGTTGCCGTATCTACTTATGTGTATATATATACACACATAAGCATACACGTATAAGTCTGTAGATCTATATCTGCATCTATGCACACACACATATATATATATATACATACATACATACATACATACATATACATGTGGAGGACTGTTTAGGGCTTAAGCAACAACCACAGGAAGTGGTAAGACACAGTTGTTCATTCACTTGGGCTTGCAAGTGGATGATAGAACCCGCAGCTGCCTTCATCCGGGATTTAGTTTGACATGAGGAGGCATTGAGTTGTACCCTGCCCCAAACCCCCGCCCACCTGGCAGAGGTCTCAGGAAGATGCCATGCGAGAGATCTGTCAGCTTTCGATGGACGACGAGACGTTTCGCTTCCACGAAGTCTTCGACGTCGGCCGGGCTGGGTTTCGGGTTCCGGGCAGAGACTCCTCTACCCTTGCCTAGACACCCTAAGCCCTAAACCCTACAATCCCTAGTCCTTAGACCCTAAACCCTACTCCCTAGTCCCTAAACCCTGAACCCTAGCCTTCCTCAACGCGAAAACCCTAAACCCTGTAAACCATCTTCATGCAAAAAGGTAGCGTTGGGCAGAAGAGCAGAAGTTGTCTGACCCGACCTTTAGCAAGTTCGCGAGTTCATGTCGGGACTCAAAATTTAGAGCTTGGGGTTTAGGATTTAGGGATCTAGGGGGTTAGGGTTGAGGCTTTAGTGTTCAGGGTTCAGAGTTATTTCGGGCTTGGGATTTAGGGTTCAGGCGATGTTTTACAGAACGTTCCCCACGAGGCCTGTTACGTTCAATGTAGTAGGTTATTGGGATATGGGAGTTTCCGAAAATACGGGATTTTGATAAAGTGCCCTAAATAGTAGGATCCTTGTTACAAGGACTCCAAATGAGGTACCCCTAATTTCCCGAAACTCGCTACGGTAAGATCTTTTTGAAGATTAAGGGGGCAGTAACCCACTACACAGGGGAACTACAGGAGGCCCAAGCAGAGCGATGGAAGGATGCAGAAGCAATCCTTCTGCCATCCCTGGAAGCTGCGAAGATTCAAGCCCAAGAAGGCCCTATAGAACCCAAACCCTAAACCCTAAATCAAAAGGGAAAAGGAGGGACCCTTAACGGGGACCCCTACCCTATACTGGGCTATATAATGGGTACATGATAGCTATCTTAAGGGTATATACCTAGGGGTCCTGATTAAGTGTCCCTCCTTTTGCCTCTGGACTAAACCCTAAACTTAAGCCCACAAAAAAGGCCCAACTCCCCCAAGGCCCTGGACTCTTCAAGCTGTGAAGGCCACTTCCGCAGCGAGCTTCGTGGTCTGGGTGTTCAGAAAACTGCAAGCTTTGAGAGCCTCTCGGCCAGCTGAAGGTGCTCTACTATAGGCGCTTTAATAATTAGAACTAGGGTTTTTCAGAGGGGATACAGAAGGGTTCTTCTTAACATGTATAACGGGTACAGCAGGTTCTGAAAGGGCAATAAAGTTGGGGTTTGACAGCGTTTACAGGATGTTCTACGGGGTTTAACAGCAGCTTCTTGGACAGATTCGCTTCGTAATTCGAGTAAGATATGCCAGAAAATTGCTTGTTTCAGTGGGTTCGGATTTAGAGGTTAGGACTTGCTGTGCTGAGTTTGCACACACGTTTTGGCATTTGAAGCCTAGGTTCCCCGCCGAGTACTTGTCTAACTCACCTGCGCATGTGTACGCACTACATGAGACCCTCAGCTACCTAAAGGATCATGAGAGTTAGGATGTAGGGTTATAGATAAAGTAACTGTACTTGTATGTACTTAGAACCCCTCTCGAAACCTGGACCTTGCGAACCACAGTGGCCCTTAATCGCGGGGTTTAGACTCTACTACCTAGAGGCTAAGCCCTCAAACACCCTAAGCCCTAAACTCTAAAGGTTTCCATGAAGCCTCAACATCCAGAACCTCAAGAACCGTAGACCCCAAACCCTCAAACCGTATAAAACCCAAACGAAGACTCCCAAACCCTGCACCCTATTCATTGAAGCCCCAAAATCCACAAGCTTTACCCAAAGGCCCCAAAGTAGTTCCTTTTTGGGGTTCAGAAACAGAATCCTATAAGGTAATCCCCAAAAGGAACTACTTTGGGTCCTCTGGGTCGTTCTTGGGTGCAGGTTTCCTGAAAGCGAACGGTGCAATCGACACGCTGTTCCTCCTGAATGCCGCCTTCCAGCCAGGCGGGGCCTGAGAGCTTAGTGTTTAGGGTTCAGGGTCTTAGGGTTTAGCGTCTTAGGGTTTTAGGGTAGTTTAGGGTTTTAGGATTTAGGGTTTAGGTTTTGAGGGTTTAGGGTTTAGTGTTTTAGGGTTCAGGGTTTAGGGTTTAGGGTTCAGTGTTTCAGGGATTAGGGTTTTAGGGTTTTAGGGTTTTAGGGTTTGGGGTTTAGGGTTTGGGGTTAAAGGTTTATTTAGGATGAAAGGAAGCCTACCAGTCCATAACAAGAGCAGCACATACTTAGCATCCCTGAAAGAGAAGTATAAGAGCCGGGGCTTGACTACTTTCCAACATCAGAAATCATTCCTTTGACTTCCGCAAGAAAACATATTCACAACAATAATGGGCCCCCCAACCCTACCTTTAACTACCAAACCCTATTTTTATAGGTTCTTATTAAACCCTAATATGGAATTTATAGGGACCCTACAAAAAAGTAGGTTGTGGTAGGTTAAGGTATTTAATATACCCTAAACCCTTACCTCCGTAAGAACATTTATCTTGTTAGATAATACGCCCGTCAACCGTCGCTCAGGAGGCGCCTGGGTGCAGAAGCTGTTTGCGGAGCCCCTCTTACACTGCGAGGACCGTTTAGGGAGGTTAGGGTTTAGGAGTTTCGCGCCTATGGGCTTAGGGTTTATAGGGGTTTAGGGTGTAGGGGTGTATAGGGTTTATTTAGCATCTTAGTGTGGGGTTCAGGTCGCAATGCTCGAGTTTTCTGCTTGAGGATTTAGGTGAGGCAAGACAACCGTGACTGCACACATTACTCTTAGACTCAATTCAACTAATAGCAGCAAAGTTGCTAGCTGCAATAATGGCAACATCTGCGCGACTCTTACCTTTTAAGTACTGTTAGGCATCTGCCAATCCTTGTTGTCACTTTGTACTTCTTCTCGGCCTTAGCAGCTCGTCCTGCGCCAGACATGTCGGAGTTCTGAGATGTCTTCATTATGCCAAAAACCCCAAAATGCACGAGAAAAAACCCAAGCATTCCTTTTGCGCATGCCCATTCAAAGCCAAGAAGCTTCCACTTCGTGAGGACAACTCAAACTTCAACCGGGCGACTCGGTACAAGTCGTTTGCTGACCTTCCAGACTCGAAGGGGAAGGTTTGGATCTGCTTTAGGGTTGATGTCGGGTTTAGGGCTTATAGGGCTTCGCGATTCGTTTGAGTTTCAGTGTTGGGGATTTACGGTTAGGGTTAATTTCGGAAAGCGGAAATTTGAGGGTCGAAGTAGTCCTCATTTACGGGGTTTGGTACCTGCTTGGCCCAACAGTCCTATACTAGGGAGTACTTGGACCCGTAAAGGAACTCACTTTGAATATCTCCTACAGCAGTCTTGCATGGCAGTAGTCGGAACAGTCATCTAGATAAGATTGATGCAGACAGTGACTTGAAGGGATAGGATACTTCGGAGCACATTGCCAAGCGCGGTGAAATGGTCGTATCCATCATCTGATGATGCCAGATCAGGTCGTTCAAGTCTTCGACGGGCGCGAAATCTTCGTTAAACGACTGATTTGCTTGTCCGCGGGGACGAATGTGACTCGTCAGCTCCCAGATACATCTTACAGCCTTACAGTTTCAGGCTACACCTTAAGCCCGAAACCCGAGCCCCAAAGACGATCCCTAATCTCAAGTTTTTTTTTCGACGCCCCAACCGCCAATGTTCAGAGTGCCTTCAACTCTCTGAAAACACATGCTATTAAATAACAGCAAGAACAAACGCAATACTCATAATATTAACTGCTGTTTTTTCAAGCACTACCGTTTCCATCATGATTGTAATTACAATATTAGCCAACTGTCGCACCATCGAGAGATGTTGAATTCGTATTTCTCAAACCTTGGGTTCGAACAAGGCCACTAGAGCACTGGAGCTAAATGATTACAGCCAGAGAGACTAAGAGGCTTCCCGCAGCGTAGCTACTTGGAGGATCAGGGACCAGAGTTTATATGTACCTTCATTTGGGTTATCGGTTACCTTATCTAAAACCCTGGTTACGAAGTCCCATGCTCCTTTAAGTAAGAAGCCAGGAAGGCGAGATGTCTTGCTGAACGCAGGGCGACAGCTGCATGTTCGCAATCTCGATGTTTCAGGATCTTCTATACGCAGCAACCACAGCACACAAAATCCTAAACTCAGTGCGGCATAAACATACACCCTGCAACCGCGCATATCATCCGACAGTTGCCAAGGCAGCACCCCTTTCTGAAAGCCCCCCATAAACTTCAACGGTATAGCATGAAGAGCTTCTCCGCTGAAGCGCCAAGCCTAAAACGCTGAAACCTTCAACTCTAGATTCCCCCTAAAGCCCCTCAACCCAAAAACCTTGAATTCTACAACCTAAACCCCATACTGTATCCTGAACCCTGAACTTTGCAACCTAAACCACGTTCTGTAGCAGTCCGATCGGAACTCCAAGGGCCAGGACTCTTCCGTCGAGCTCGATGGGCCAAAGTTTGCCCGGGAGCTGCTGGAGGCTCTCAGGCGCTGTGGGGCTTTGGGTTTGGGCGTTTAGGGTTCAGGGTTGGGGGTTTAGGGCGTATAGGGTTTAGGGCTGTAAATGTTTATCTTTTGGGTTCAGGGCTTAAGGACTTGGAGTTTAGGCGTTTAGGGTTCAGGGTCAAGGGCTTAGGGTTTAGGGCTCAGGGTTTAGGCGTTTGGGGTTTAGGGTTTAGGGTCTAGGGCTTAGCGCTTTTAGGGTTCCGGGTTTAGGGTTGAGGGCTTGGCATGATTTGCTAAGGTATTCCATTTTCAACCGGGCTCGTCGTTCCATGTGTGGTGTCGGAGCAATGTGGGGATTTCCGAAAATAGGGGTACCGTATGTGGGGGTCCTTGTAATAAGGATCCTACTATTTAGGGTACCATATTAAGGTCCCCTATTTTCCGAAACTCCCATGTAGTACATGTCATATTTACTCTCATAGGAGGACTTAGTACTACAGTCCTTCTCGTGAGTTGAATCACATGCTTGTATTTTTTCAGATCTTGTGTCTCGGAAGGTATTATATGCCAACAACCCAACGGCATCAGCAAACCCTTTGTTCTTCTCGTCAAGTCAAGCTCGCAGTTTGTCTGGGGTTGGTCGTTTCCCGGCAGCGTTGCCATGCCCATCACGTAGGCACTAGGCACAAAGGATTGCTTGCTGCAGCACATCCCTAGTTTGGAACAAGTATGTTCAGATTTCACCGACAAAATTTGCCTGAACCAGACCACCCCACACGATTGGAATGTCCACGACGGATGGTATAGGAGTCTGGATTTTGGGTTAGGGCTGCGCCATTATGACTATCACTACTTTCGACACGCTTGTGGATGCTATTATTCACCCTAGACCCTTGGAACCCCGAATCGGAAAATGCGAAGCGCACTTGAGCTTGTCAATGCAACCGCAGCTCAAACCCCCCACTATCTTGAGGTCCACAGCAAGAACTTAATTATTCAGTTTCCGACAATGTCCCTGTGGCCATAATCCGTAAACCCTTAACCCTAAACCCGAAACCCCTAAACCCCTAAAGCCTTCAATCCCAGTCCCTAAACCCCTTAACCCTGCAAAGTGCCAGACATGGACATCGCCTTGCCTTTCAGCTCTATTTCTGGAGTGGCCCAGAGCGGCATCGCATGTCGTGCCTCGTCAGGGTTTCGTAGTATTTAGGGTTTAGGGTCTATGGGGTTTAACGTTTGCACGCATACCTTAACGCCAAGGATGTGCTACGTGGTTGCTTCTGATGACATTTATTCAGGATGTAGAAGTAGTTGTACACTGTGTGAGAATTGAGCAGAAAATGATGTGTAAGAGTTTTGCCACAAATTGCACTTAATTATCAAAAAAACTGCAGTCCAAAACACGCTACATATGGCATCGGGAAGCATAGCACGTACATCCTGAGCCCGCGAATCCTAAAACCCTCGACCTAAAACCATGAAACCTCAAACCCACAATCATCAGGCTTCAAGCCAGTCAGATGGCCCACGTTCCATCCCTTTGGCGTGCCTTCAAGTTTCTTCCAGTGTTGGAAGAGCACCCCGGACTGCGAGTGTTCGGGGACAGTTCAGGGTTTAGGAGTTGAGAGGTTCAGGAGTTTCTGGGTTAGGTTAGGGGTTTAGAGGGTTAGGGGTTGAGGGGGTTCGGGGTTTTTGGGGCCTTTTAGGGGTTTAGGAGTTTCCGGGCTTGGGGTTTAGAGGTCGAGGGGCTCAGATTGGGGCTTAAAGGCTTAAAGGGGACTCCAGAAAGTTGGAATATGGTTTCAGGGTAGGATACCTTATAATTGACCATAAAGGGTTTAGGATAATCATATTCCAACTTTCTGGCGTTTACCTTATGATTGTTGGTCGTGGGCTGACGGCTGGGATTGCCTGACCCCCAGCCTCGAAGAATGCACGACCCAATCTACCACAGGGGCTTAGATGATTGCCAATACTATTTGTGGGGTTCCTTATTCTAGTTAGAGTATAATATACCCACCTCAAAACCCTATTCTACTTATCCAGGCCGCTTTTTCAATGTAGAACCCTATACAGAACCCCTACAGACCCTTTAACGATCCCTTTAGAGCATCCCCTCTTCTAATTACTAAAGCCCCTACAGCACCCGGATGCAAGTCCGGCCTAAGCTCTACCCTAAGGCTCCTAAGCGGGGTCATGGGATCTCTGGAAAAGGGTTTGGGCTTTGGGGGCTAAGGTTTGGGATCTCACTACGAGGGTCCATATACACTAGAATTATGGAATTAGGTCACCAGAACCTTAATTGGAATGGTCTTTTGGGACCTAATCCCAGAATGGTAGTGTAAAACTGGATGAACCCTCTGGGTCTGCCGAAAGCCCCAACCTTTCCAAACGCTAGGACCAATTTTAAACCCGAGACGGTAACCTCAATGGCTGTTTTCGTTCAAACGCCGCAAAGCCCAGCCCCATGATCGTTTCTCAGGCCTCGCTGAATCTCAACTAGGTCCCTCCGAAGATGACGCTTCAAGTCTGTTGCCTAGTGTTCCAAATGATCCCTGCCCTAGTGCCGTTCACTGAGAGGCTCGCCGATGATACGATTCGCGGATTTCTGGGCGGCGCTGAGGCCGGGTTTCGGGATTTGGTGATCTGGGTCTTCGCCTATCACTCAACTCAGAACCCCGAGGTTCCCTTCGTGGTGGCGCACTGGAAATGGCGCGACATGTCGGCAGGAGGCGCAGAAGCTCCAAAGCTTGCTTCAAGTTCTTCGCAAGAGGGTGGGTTTGGGGTGCAGGAAGCCCTCAACCCTAAAGCCTCAACCTCATTTAAGAAACTCCTCACCTGCATACAGCAAGTTCTGAAGCTCATTTTCTGCATCGAGTTCTGATCGAAAGTCTCCTGCAATCTCGTGGGTTGCCGGATCCATCCGTCAAAGGGTCCAAGTATCATTATGGTATATACTTAGGGTATTTTGGGGGTCTAACTGTTGATGATATAATTCCTGCATTACCTTAAGGACCCTAAACTATGGTAATTATGGTATATCCCTTCTTATGGGTAATGCAGGATTTATATCAACCCTAAACCCTAAACCCTATAGATCCCTTAAAGAAACCCCTTAAAGGTACCCTTAATAGAGCCCTTTAAAGGAACCCTAGGATTCTTGTACCATCAACCGAACTATATGCCATAGTGATACTTGGACCCTCTGGGTCCGCCAGGGCTCCTGGAGTATTTCGACCAGAAGAAGGCCGCTCGGAACTGTTGAGGCAGTGATGTACTATACTTAGAGGATGATGGGACTTAGTAAGTAGGTTATAACTGGGGTTATAAGCCCCCTAAGTGGGGTTATCCTAATTATAACCTACTTATAACCTTACTTACTAAGTCCAATGAGCCTGCAAGTAGGGGCCTTAAAAAATTAGAATAGGGGGCTCCTTTAAGGGATCCTTAAAGGGTTTATTGAGGGCTCTAGAGAACATTACATAAGGGGCCTGAATAGTTCGAATAGGGGCTCCTTTAGAGGGATCCTTAAAGGGTGTAAAGAGGGTTCTACATTAAGCAATGGGTCTTAATAATTGGAGTTGGGTTTGGGGGTTTTGGAGTATATCTATAATAAGGAAGCCCCAACACGGTATTGGTAATTATTCAGGCGCCTACATTACGCTTATTGAGAGGAAGCAGAGTTCATCTTAAACCCAACACCACCCCCACAAATGCCAAAGCCCCGAAGCCCGCAGGCTTATATACAACCACAATACCCCAGGCCCTGGACCCTAAACCCCCAAGCCTTTAAATCCAAACCCTCAAACCCTTAACCCTTCGTCCGAAACCCTCAGCTCTAACCTTTTCAGGTCAAGGAGATGGCTCAGGAGTCAATGCCGGAACGGATGCATATGGCCCTGCAGGAATGCCCCCGGACTTCGTCAGTAGGGTTTAGAGGGCGCATAGGGTTCAGGGTATGTGGGGTTCAGGGTATGTGGTATACGGTTTGAGGGTTTGCGGGTTGTAGGGTTAAGAGGGTTTGCGAGGCTTAGGCTTAGGGTTTGTAGGGTTTCGGGTTTGGGGTGAGGGGTTTGGAGAGGTTAGGGCCTAGGGTTGTGGATATAGGCTTCGGCAAGTAGGGTCATATAGGTACGTGTTCTGTAGGATCAGGCGTCATAGGTTTAGGGGGTTTGGGGCTGATAGGGGTCATAGGGTTTAAGCCTTAAGATCTGGGTTTGAGCGTTTGGGTTCTGGTGATCGCGGTTAAAGTCAGGTTGACAAAAGATCCTGTCAAATTTGGTTATCAGCTTGGTTTTCATGCAGTCTTGGAAGTGCCCTGAACCCTAAACCCTAGCCCCTGAACTCTAAACCCCCAACCCTCACCCTGAACACTGCACCCTTAACCCTGAACACTTAACCATAAACCCGGAACCCTAAAGCCTTCAGGGAGAAGAGTTCCACGGAGTTTTCAACCTCTCGAGCCCTTGGCCATGCAAGGCACACATCCTGTCAATTCCCTGCACCCGAAAGGCTGTCGGGGACATTAGCAGCACATAGTCCGCATTATATGTATAACTACTACTGCAATTCTATAATATAATGTTCCCTGATACCTTGTGCTCCTTGTCTGAATCAGTAAGCGCCCGATACTACGGTTTAGTGTTGGCAAGGTTTTCATATTCGGCCTGAAGCCTGCCGAAGCCTACAGCCTACAAAGGCATTCCAGAAGAGTTCCACTGTGCGAACCTTTTCGCACCTCAGCGGCACTTGGGTTTCAGAGCCGATTGGGCATTATATTCCCTAAACTCTAAACTGTAAAAACCCTAAACCATGGTACAACTTAGTAAACCCAAAACACTATCATAGTGATGGGTTGTTGGGGCGAGGATTGGGGCTGAAACCTCTCAGACCTAAACCCTTTAACAAATTGGGAGTTTCCGAACATTAGGGGTACCTTACTTGGGGGCCCTTATTACAAGGATCCTACTATACAGGGTACCATATTAGGGTCCCCCATTTTGGGAAACTCCCAATTCTTGAAGGACTTCTGGGACCGGAGTGCTTAAGCTGCTTGACGCGCGGCGGGGGTGGTCACCCGGTTGAACCCTGCAAATCCCAGAGCCTGTGCCCGAGCCGAACCTTTGATCCTAGCCTGGGCCGGCCACCTCAGTGCTAAAAGTCGCGAAAAAAGGTGAACGTCGCCCTAGTTTCTGAATCCGAAAGCACTGCAGCCTTGAACCTTGAAGGAAGACGTAGGGTTTTGGGTAGGGCAACATAGGGCAACCGTACACACCGTTGCTAAGACCATAAACAGCCTGATAACACCGTTATACAACCTGCAACATCTCTAAACCCCTAAAGCCCTGAACCATAAACCCTAAACCCCTAAACCCCCAGACCCCTAAACCCTCAACCCTAATGACGGAAGCACATGAATGTGCCGAGGTGATGACCAATCTCCCATCGACGTCGGCACCTTTCCAGGAGCTGCGGGAGCTACTCGGAGAGGGGCTTGTAACAGACCTAAGCTCGTGATCCCAGGGACTCCAATATCCCTGAATTACGCGTGTTCCTCGAAGGGGATCTACAGGGTCTAGGGTTTAGGTGACTCCAAAATCCCCTGAATAAGGAATATACCTCATATCATAGTAGGGTAGAGGTCCTATTGTAAGCTAACGTATATTCCTTAACTAAGGCTACGGCATTTTGGAAGGTCTGGGCTTCACTGTGTAACGCAGAAGCAAACAAGAAGAAGCTCGAATAACTAGAGATATGTCATCGGCCTAGGGGGTTTTGGGGCATTGTGTTCCGAAATTGGGCAGGGGTGTGGTCCTCAGAAAGTAGGATTCTAGTGCTTGGCGTCCACATTCGGGGCCCGCATATTCTGAGACTCGCGTATAAACGATATAAACGAAGAAGACGGTGTACACCAGTAGCTGGAAAGACAAAGGAGGACAAGGAACAAGAAACGCTGCCACAAACGTAACATATGTTGGGCAGGCTTCATAAATGAATAGCATCATCAACAAAGGCTTACATCGCAACCGCCCAGCGGTTTAGTGTGGTGAGCCGTATTCCCAGCAGGGCTTCGGTTCTGTTTGTGTATCCCCAAGCCCTCAAACCCTGAATGCCTAAACCATAAAACCCTTAAAGCACTATTCCTAAACCCTGAACCCACCCCCCCAAAAAAAACAAAATCCATAAACTGCTAAGGCCCTAGGAGCTCAAAGCCAAGCTCTCTGAGGATGGTTCTTAGTAGGGAATGGGGGAATGGGTTATAGGGGGTTTAGGGCTTGGGGTTTGGGGTTTAGGGCTTACGGTTGAGGGTTTGGGGTTTAGACTACTACAAGGGACCCTTAAGGGACTATCATAGGGATCGGTTCCCCCACGCCCTACTAAGAACCAGCCAGTCTCTGAGGCTGCACGCCGCAGAGTGCGGGCCGGGACGCTTTCACTCCCTGCCTCTTTGAGTGCAGAGACTCATCGGGCTCCACGGTTTAGGGTTTAGGATTTAGGGGTTTAGGGTTTAGGGGTTTAGGGTTTAGGGGGGTATGCTGGGATTCCTTGCTATTATTATAGCACCTGTAGGGTTATACCATCTCCCTTTTATTGGTTTCAAGGCCATGACCAATTATTGTTGCGTGACCAATTTTTGGCTTCATAGGAATTACAGTTTAAAGCTCGTAAACTTCGTCATGACTGTCATTCGTATGCTTTCGAAGACTTTGAAAACCTGAACCCCTGACCCAGGCCCTAAACTCTGAAATCGAAGCCCCAGCCCAAATCCCCAAAGGCCTGCAGCGGTAAACCAAGTATAACCCTTTTGACCCTAAACCCAAAGCTCCAAAGCCTTTGTCCATGCCGGCGGCGATCAGCACATGAACGATTCTCAGAGCAGCTGGGCTTGAATGGCTGGGTTACACTTGTACCTTATGCTATATAATAGTTATAACATCTATACTGCTAGCCATTCCCTGCCCATGCGTGTTGCACCTCTGCCCTATAGATTTGCAGTCGTCCCAAAGATGAAGTAGAGCTGTGCAGCTCACGTACTGGCCTACTGATCTTTCCCACGAAGTCTTCGCCGTCCGGCGTGGCAAACATGGCCGGGTTGGCAATGTGTTCTGCTGCTGGATTTGCTAATTCTTTTTGCATATCCAGCACAAGGTGCTTGAGGAAGTGGAGCTTTGGAACCAACACATAGTGGCACATGGAGTTTCTGAAGGCCCACCTGGCCAGCAAAACGTAGCAGGAGATAAAAGCATCCAGGCAGCATGCTGCTTTTGCTGCTTCTTCCCGACTGAGCCACCTCCTATCCTCTGCCTTCCAGCAGCACCTGTGAAAAGCATTGTATTGAATAATCGCTGTCAGCATGGTGTGCTGGACCCCTTCGTCATCCAACCTCCATGGCCGATCCAAGTAATCTTCCAAGAAATTCATGATGAGCACGGAGTCGCTTGCCTTGAAGGTGCATTTGGGGAAGCCAGTTTGTGCTGCATGGAGGTTTGTGCTTGTAAACTCCTTCACATTGGGGGTCTGCACGACCCCACGACAGAAACTGCGAAAATCATCATATGCCTTTGCTAACCTGGAGTTCAAGTTGTCTGCACCACGAACAGACCAGAAGCCAAAGTTGCGGCACAGCAGCACCAGGGTGGATGCATAAAAATAGCGTGCCACCCCCAAGTGTCCAAGGTGAAAAATGTCATGTCGGGCCATAATAGGAGCTGACAGCCCAGGGATCGTGGCAAGAACTGAATCCTCCAACCATGGAGCAGGCACATCTGGTGATGCCCAAGAGGGCTGCTCTGAAACATCCCAAAGATCGTCTCGTGTGGCCAAGCAGAAAGGACAGCAGGCTGCACACAGAAAGTTTCGCTCTTGCTTCCAGATCTTGGCCTGAAAAGGCAAATCTCCAAGACAGCCAACATAAGCGAAGTAAAGCGTGCGAACAGCAGCCCCTGTGCCACCGACATCCACAGTGATGCCTGCCACATGGGATCATGTACATTCTTCCAAAAGCACTCAACCCCACTAAGAAGCATCCCAGGCAAAAAATCCCATTAGTACCATCCCAGGGTTTACTGACTAAGGGTTTGCAAAGGTTCCTCTATAAAGAAGGTGCAAAACGTTGCAGATACACCGCACATGTTTTCTAGTTGTTGTAACCCCGAGAACCTTCTCGAAACAGAGAGCCAGCTTCCAGCGAATATTGTTGCACAAGCTCATCCAAACACTCGTTTGCGTGAGATGAACCTTTGTGAAATCCCCGGTATAGCTCATGGGCAGCGATCGTGTACAAGAAGTTGCGAGAGTAGCTGCTGTTGCGACAGTTGAGCATTGCCTTTGTTGCAAGGATGTAGCAAGGGTGCTTTCGTTTCCCGGTCCCCTCGTCTCCATACACTGCCAGCGGCACTGTGTCCTCCAATGGTTTGTTGCCGAAGACTGCATGACCGGGGTCATGGGCCCTGTATCGTTCCCACCACTGCCGAAGAACAATTCTGGATTCGTCCGTTATCACATCGTAGCCTCCCAGAAGCAGCCGGGAGTAGCCATTGGCAAGCATGTAGGAAAACAGCCTTCGAGGTGAAAGTATGGGGTGTTGGCAAATGCCTTTCTTGTAGTAAGGAACAGCGATGTAATCGATTGCAACCTTCAGCATACGACCAGTCCTTTCCAAACCTCGAACAAGGCCTCGGAATTGATTTCCAGATCCAGTGCCATGGGTTTTGGCGATCTTTTTCAAATCCCAAGTTTCTTGTTCACCCTCCAAGTAGGCAGACACGGGTCGCTTTGTAGCGGTGCTTGCAATCGACACTGCTTTAGTTGCATTGCCAGCCTCAGCAGATAAAGGACATACACACAACTAGTCTTCAGGCGCTTGGGATGTATAGAGGTTCAGGGTTTCAAATGTTGGGGTTTAGCAATGTTAGTATGGTGATTAAAAAGTTGATCTAGCGATAGCCTTCTTAAAGAGAGACTCCGAACCGCATTATACATCATAATTGAAAACATCTTCGGCGAACCCAGGTACGATGAAAGAAGTGACGACTTCATCGACGAGGTCGCGGCCACCTGGCTCGGAATGGCAAGCACACACATTGTAGAAGCCGGTACATGTGTGCTCGTGGAACTGAATGCAGACAACGATTTTTCCCCAGTAGCACCCGGCGGAGTGGGCGAACTCGCAGCACAGTCTGTGCTAGCAACCCGTGCGACCTTCGAGTGTGCATTACCGAGAGATCCTTCAAAAGTCACACATACACAAAGAGTTTCAAGCTCCTCGGGCCCAGAACCTAAAATCATACTGCAAATGCACAGTCCTGTGCAACTCCGAGTCTGCTATATGCAACTCTTAAGTTTCTTTTTGTGGATACCAATGGATCGCTCAGTACACACAGCAGCTTGTAAGCTACACTGCACCTACCCGTCACACTCACTGCACACAGGATCTAGGCTAGCAACATAAGTACCGGCGTGAGGTACAAACTCATTCACTCATCCTTCGGCGTCGGCTTCGCAGTTTTTTTTGCAGCCGTTCGTCGCTTGAAGTAGGTCCTCGGTGCAAGCATGGGGTGTTTGCAGGGCCATCGCAGGATTCGAATATTATGACAAGAAGCTTGACAATTTGAAGATGATTGTCGAAGGTTTGGCACCTTAGACATATAGGCCACACTTAGAGGTGATAGGCCAAGGAATTCAACTGAAAGTAACATCAAGCAAGAGGCTGCGATTGCAACGTAGAGCAAGGCGAGGCGTAGCTTGCAGGCCTGGTTTGAGTGGATGCATGCAACGAACTCCCAACACAACTTTGCGAACCACTGTTGCCATCGAGAGGCGTCTTCTTGTCAGCACCGGTTTCCACAGCACACACCTGGTTGTAGGTGACGAGGATGGCATCTGCCAGCGGGGTTTGTTCGATGCGAAAGCAGCATGCACAATCCGAGGCGACATGTCAACAACTGGAGTGGCGAGCTGCAGCGACGTGCCTAGGGCTTTCTTGAGGTTCGCGAAGTCGCTCCTTAGCACATTCACCCCCAAAGGACTTGGTGTAGGGATACTTCCAGGGTTTAGGGGTTGGAGATATATGTTACATACACATGCATGTGTACAGTATATAATAAAAACACATGTACTATGCATGGTCATGCATCTATATAAACACACATATATATATATAGACTATATATATATATATTAATATATGCACAAAGTTCCTGGGTTTTCAGGGTTGAGCAGGTGTGTGAAGTATCCCCCCAAATAATAGGTTGAAAAGGTTCTTCGGACCTTGTTACGTGGAGAACTGATCTTCTGCTCATTATAATATTCCCTGCTAGCTAGAACCACCTATTCTCGGCAAGGTTGTCCTTAACAAACAAGTTCAGTTTTATTGAGGGTGTTTCAGATATGTGAAGTAGATCATGCCAAGGGCTCTCAAAGAGAGACAAGGGGCAGTTATGAAGACTTCTGGGTTCCTACACAGAGGCAGGATATATAGGGTTTGTGTCTAGGCATTTCAAGATTTGGGGTTACATGTGCAAAGAGAAAGCACCAGGAATGAGGTAAAAAGAAATGCACAATGAAGCTGTTGGTTAACATTGGAATGTTATAAAACACAAAATAATGAAGGCTTTGGTCTTCGGGAACCTGGGGTCAACATGCAAGTTAGCCATCCCCGGTCCCAGCTCCATCCTTTTTTGCATAAGTTCATAAGAGCCTGCGGTCAAGGATCTGCTCAAAACTTAACAGAAAGCTCACCCACACTTTCGATCCGCTTCAGTCCATTTCTTGGAGCTCCACAACTGCTGGGGGGACACATACGACCTCTTTCCAGAGATGACACAAGTCCTTCCATCTGAGGCTGCGTGGGGGCTCAACTGGAACGATCAGCTGCTTGAAGAAGTCCAAAGTACGGGTGACTTGGTTGTACAGCATACTTGGATCAAGGCCATTTGTTATGTACTGCAAGTGAAGTGGTACTTCATCTTTGGGATTCCGTCGGCGAAGGCCGGTTGTGATTCGTATCATGGGCTGGCCGATCGTCTGATACCTCAAACTCGTAAAGACATCTGCAGCAGCTCGTAGCAATTCCAGAGATGTATCGTACTCCTCCGGGATTGTGGCATGAACCTCCATGATGCTCTCCCTCAAAGCTTCCATCTCCATATCGAGGTAGAGTTGATACTCATCAATCTCGACATCCAAGGCAGAATACAAGGCCTCTGCTAGTGCAGGAAGATAGATTTCCCATTCTGAGGTCTCCCGGGCGACATCGCGAGCGGATCTCATTATATACTGACTAAGTAGCTGATTGGAACAAGACTGCCCCCATCAAAGCTGTCAAACATAACTTCGAACCCACATAGAAAACAAGCTAAGCCCTATGCGAACCACAGCACGTGAGCCATATAATGGCTCCACAAAGGCGTGATCTCTGGAGAATCCCAGGCGACAATGTTTCAAGGCTTCTTGCTTGCAAAAAATGCATAAGACATAAGATAAGGCAAGCCTCTCCTGCCCAGTACACTTCTCGTCGGCAAGCCTGTCCTCCGTGGCCTTGAAGGTTGCTTTCCTTTTCACGGCGTTGTCCTTGAACCGCTTCACCCTGAGGGGCAGGTTGTCCTCGATGATCTCGGGCCACTCCTCCAGCACCACCTTCTTGTTGCCGTCCTTGCCAGCAGCAGGCTCATCGCCCTCGTCGTTGGCGAAGCTGAAGGCGAAGCCGTCGTCCGAGTACTCGCCGTTTATCGCAGACATTTCCTCTTCTAGCTTTAATCGAACAAGTAGCTCGTCGTCTACTCGGTCTTCTAATTCGACCAAAAATTTGAGCTCGGCCGTATATTTGCACCGCCTGGGCTGGACAGCTTGGCAATGGATGGGGTTGTTTGCAACATGCATGCACTGCAGATCGGCGCTTTAATCAGCGGAGTTGCTTTGTTAAGCGGTGCTTCTCGCAGTACAGCATGGCTCCTTTCACTTTGTTCCTGAGGCATACACCGTATGAGACTGTGCCGGATAATCGGTGCACAAATGGATCTAGCTTGAACTAAAGAGCTCCGGCCAGCCGAGCTTTTGCATCTCTGATTCGGTGCACCATCCACGGACCAAGTTGGTTTTCTGGGACTTTGTCTTCTCCCTTCTGTAAATCATCAACGTCTCGATGCGTCCCTGCATGCAAGGGCAATTTCATGCAGGCCCACCACAAAAGAGTAGGCAGCCCTATACATAGCAAAATTGCAGTCGAGATTCCTTGTTCCCTTCGTAGTCGTTCGGCTTGTAGCACTTCAAGACGAAGTCCCTCAGCAGCTCCTGCTTCGTAGCACCACCTCGGCAAAGTTTGGGTTAGGAGTGGGGCTAGGTTTAAGATATAGGGTTCAGGGGTTTGTAGGGTTACGGGTTTAAACCGGGGTTTGTAAGTATAAGGGTACACACTATACCTAGAGGCTCCTACCCTACACCTTTTTTGGTATACCTAGTTTTATGGTTAGGACCTGTTATCTTAAAACGTAGGCGCCCTAAAAAAAAGGTAGGGTATGAGCCTCGAGGTATATAAACCCTAAACCCTGTAAATTCAACATACAACATGTGACCTGCGTGCCATTTGTTGTAGATGTCCACATCGCATTTCGGCTGTCCCTTGGCATTGGGGGTGGTCAACCTGTACAAATAGTTCCACTCGCACTTGTGTGTGGCCGAATTAATCTTGATCTTGGCCAGCTCCTGTTGGGCCTCGCACAGCTTTTGCAACTCCTCCGGACTGATATCCTTGGATTGGGGCTCATACAGGGTTATAGGGTATCGGTATAGAGGGTTAGGAGCTGTGCTGAACATATAATAGAAGTTTTCTGCAAACGAGTGGCATCCTTCCCAGTCCGTGCATGTGCTGCCGAGGGCTCGGTGGGGGAAGTTGGCGTGGCGGCGTGGCTGGCCGGTTGCGAGGATACTGGTGGAGGAGTGCCCTTTGCTGTTGACTGCTCGGAGCAGAGGCTGGTTAGGGACTGAGAGCGGGCAATAAGGGCTGCTTTCGCCTGCTGCTTCAGATCGGCGACAGGTTCAGGGCAGTTGGCTTGGGAGCCGGGGTCCACAAGGGTTTCTGCAACCTGCAGTTGTCGTAGCTGCTCAAGACGACTCTGGTGTGCTTGCTCCTGCTGAAGTCGCTCCTTTTCCCGACGTGTCTGCTCTGCTTGCTCCTGGTGAAGTCGCTCCTTTTCCAATCGTTTGAGCTCTGCTTCCTCCTGGTCAAGTAGCTCCTTTCCCCTGCGTGCATGCTCTGCTTGCTCCTGGAGAAGTCGTTCCAATTCCAAGCGTGCCTGCTGTGCTTGCTCCCTGAGAAGTCGCTCCCTTGCCTCAAGCTGTTCGAGACGTGCCTGCTCTGCTTGCTCCTGGAGAAGCCGTTCCTTTGCCTTCTCTAGCTGTTGGAGACGTGCCTGTTCTGCTTGCTCCCGGAGAAGTCGTTCCTGTTCCTGTCGTAGCTGTTCTGCCTTTGCCTTCTCTGCTTGCTCTCGCAGAAGCCTCTCTGCTTGCTCCCTTTTGTGCTGCTGTTCTGCTTGTTCCAAGGCTTCCTGCTCTCGTTGTTCTTCAATCTCTCTCTCGATCTCTTTTTTCTTGTCCAAAAGATCAAAAAGCTTCGACTTCTTCGAAGAAAGCCGATCGCCCTCAGCTGCATGCGAAGCCTTTCTCGCATGCACTTTCTCGTGCTCTAGCAAACCTTCTTTCGTCAGGCCAGACCGGATAGCAGCTTTTGCATCGTCCAAGACTGCCCTCTCGGTGGGGGCGAGGTCCTGGACCCCTGCAAAGTCAGGATCCAACCTGCGGCAGAGCATCCTGCCACCAATTCCGTCGGCGGCTACAACATCTTCTCCTGGGCAGCATTAGTTTAGGTATCCATCCAAATGCATGTATATGTGTTTATATATGCGTATGTAAATATGTAACATATACATATGTATGTGTTCCATGGACATAGACACGTGCACATATACATACAGTCGTGTAACATGTGTAGAAGCATGCATTTATAGAAATACACATATGCTTGTACACACATGGTAGACACACGTATGTGTAACCACCCGGCCATCCATGTATGCATAGATTCGAAACATGCACGAACGGAGCCATATTAGCAGATGCACACACATACCTGCATATACTCCTGCATGCATACACACACACACACACACATATATATATATATATATATATATATATAACACACACACATGCGTGCATACATGTTGCATGGACCCTAGAGGCTCATACCGTACCCCTTTTTTAGGATACCTAGTTTTATGGCTAGGATCTGTTATCTTAAAGATTAGGCGCCCTAAAAAAAGGGGTGGGGTATGAGCCTCTATAGTGTACTTATAGACATCGCACCGAAATGTAGGTATCGCAGTTATGGCCATCCCAAAATACACCCCTGGACCTTTATCTCCGATGCTTAACTAAGTCTGCCCTCAGCTACTCGACTGCAGTGGTGAAGAACGTTCAAGCCTTAAACCCAAGTCCTATAGAGCCCTAATTAGCAACCCCGTAGAGACCTGAACCCCAGCTGCTGTCGGATTTTCCCAAGCTGCTTTGAAAGCTGCTCCCAACTTTGCTCTGCGTGGTTTCGTGTGGTTTTGGGACTTAAGGATGTTGGGATTGGGAGTTTGGGCTTCTATGGGTATTTCAGAGATCAGGAATCAGGCTGGGGTGATGATGGGTGATGTACGAGCCAGCAATGTAAAGGCTACCCCAACTTGTGTCGCAGGAGAGCCTGAGACTGAACATAATCACCCCCCACACTACATATAGAGGTGTGTATATAATATGTAGACACCTCAAAACAAAGTGGTAGAGTATATATATATATATATATATATATATATATATATATATATTTTTTTATTTATATTTATATAGAGAGAGATGTAGAGAGAGCGAGCTCTATGGATGCAGTAAGGCCTGGGAACTCTGGGCGTCCAACTTGTGATTTTTTTCTTATGGGGTCTTGCAGGTTCCCTAGAGGGTCATACCCCACCCTTTTCCACGATACGTAGTTTTATGGTTAGGATCTGTTATATAGAATATTATATAGGTACCTTAGAAAAGGAGTAGGGTTTGAGTCTCTAGGGATCCTGCCTGGTTATATACTATATAGGAAGTGCAACCAAGTCCGAAGCTGTCAGGTGCACATGTGTTAGGAATCAGGCCGATATGTTCCTTAGCAAGACTGGGATTGTAACCCGGAGACCCCTCCTAAATTATACTGTAAACACCGTTGCAAACTCGTGAAGCCCAGGAACTCTTTGGCTCCTGCTTGACTCCGGCCTTCACAAGGTCCAGCACGAGGGCTCGCGAGGAGGGTGTGTCCGGCAACTTGGCGATGAGATCTCGAGAAGCCGGGGAGAACTGTGTGGGCTCGAGACCCAAGCTTCTCAGGTTGAGCTTGGGCGATTCCTTTCCCTCAGGCTTTGCCTGAAGCATGCAAACTGTTTCTAGAATTGGCAGCAGCAAACGACAAAGCACCTCCCCAAGTAAAGCAGCCGAGCTACTTCCTTCGACATCATGACTAGGAAACTGGACCCTCAGGGCTTCAGGAGTCCCAGCACCCTAACAAAATTCCTTCAAGCAAAATGCTACGAGCAGCTGAGCTATACTGCATGCAGACACCAGACTTTCTGAGAAATATGCACTCGAGACAGCATGTGCACACAGCATCCTGCCACAGCCTGTAATCGAGACAGCACCACTGCTCGAAGAAGGCTGGGCAGCGAAAGAAGAGACACCTGCGTGGAGACACATGCGGTTTATTATCAAGAGGATGTTGTTTCGCGAAAGCAAACTTCACACGACAAGTATCGCAGGACAAACGGTCAGGCTGAGGTGTGCTAAAATGTTCACGCAAGATCTCGGTCATACTCGCGAGATCTTGCTCAAATCACGGGATAATCTCGCTACCCAGTTCTCACATCTAGTGACCACCCAGCAGATTTTTCACGGGATCTCGCGTGAGATCTCGCCTGCGAGATTTTTTCACGGGATGTCGCGTGAAAATCTCGCCTGTCACAGCTAAGCAGTATAATGATGTAGCAAGCAAAGCCGTGTCTACCATAGCGGAATGTTCGCCCTGGCACGAGTTTCATTACTCAAGAGGCGATACACATCGTTTGGGCCCTTCCTTTCTGTGAAGCTCTCCCTCTCCCTCTCCCTCTCCCTCTCTCCCTCTCCCTCTCCCTCCCCCTCTCCCTCTCCCTCTCCCTCTCCCTCCCTCTCCCTCCCTCTCCCTCTCCTCTCCCTCTCCCTCTCCCTCTCTCCCTCTCCCTCTCCCTCTCCCTCTCCCTCCCTCCCTCTCCCTCTCCCTCCCTCTCCCTCTCCCTCTCCCTCTCCCTCTCGCTCTCACCTCTCCCTCTTCTCCCTCTCTCTCTCTCCCTCTCTCTCTCTCTCCCTCTCCCTCTCCCTCTCCCTCTCCCTCTCCCTCTTTCTGCTCCGAAATCGGGGGCTCCGAAATCCTGCCCTACGACCCAGCCCCAGATATGTACTCTTGTGTGTCAGAGGGTTTAAGGTTTGGGAAGGTTTAGGGCTTGTAGGGCTTACCCATATATTCTGCAGTCTGCACTGCAGCTCCTTGTTAAGCATAAGCAATTAAAGGTTCCAGGTCCACATATATATATATATATATATGGACACATAAATACATCAAGCAACCCCTTAGAGGCTATACATATATATATATATAGAGAGAGTTTAGCACGGTATACTGTCGAGGCTTGCAAAAGCCCTTGAAGTGAAAACCTGAAACCCTTCTCGAACCCTGAAATGCTGAAGCCGGTGCTCAGGTTGCCAGCGGGGCGAATCCGGTGCTCCTGGGCCGGTTTGGGTTTAGGGTTTTGTTTCCTTGTCCGGTCTTGACAGTGTTTGTGCCTTGTCGGTGTACACATAAATACATCAAGTAACCCCCCTAGAGGAACCAGGGTGCAGACTATATATAAAGTTTAGCACGGTATACACTGTCGAGGCTTGCAAAAGCCCTTGAAGTGAAAAACTGAAACCCTTCTCGAACCCTGAAATGCTGAAGCCGGTGCTCAGGTTGCCAGCGGGGCGAATCCGGTGCAGTGCTCCTGGGCCGGTCTGGGTTTAGGGTTTTGTTTCCTTGTCCGGTCTTGACAGTGTTTGTGCCTTCTCGGCTGAAAAGGGTGCGGCTGGTGTCCGGGGTGGGGTTTGTTCTTCGTCGCCACATGTATTGAAAGCAGAAAGCATGCCAAAACCCGACACCCTGAACACCAAAACTCTTCACCAGACATTGTAGCCCTAAGCCTAGGAGCCTTTCAGCCTTACATCAAGAAAGCATCCAAAACCCAACACCCTCAAAAGCTAAACCCCTGCCCACAAGTCGTAGAATCTCCTTTTAGTTCCTGCATCGATTGGTGGTAGCCCTGCATGAACTCGAAACCCTACCTAGAGGCTCATACCCTACCCCTTTTGTAGGATACCTAGTTATATACGGCTAGGGCCTGCTATCTTAAAAAGTATAAGCGCCCTAAAAGAAGTTGGGTATGAGCCTCTAGGTACTGTTAAAAAAAACTGACACAGCCACCAGGCCGCCGTATAGCTCCGAAGACCCAAGAAGAAGCCCCAAGGAGCAACCATATACATAAATAAATATGTGTATATATATATATATATATATGTACATATATATATATATATATATATATATACACATACATATATATATATATATATATATATATAATACACATATATATATATATGTAAAGTGTATATATTTATATTCATATATGCATATATACATACACATGTATATATATATATGTATATACATATACACCTTCCTGCAAGTATTCAAGTGACCACTGTGAACTGTAAACCTCATTCACTGTATATGGCCCTATCTGACTCCAAAGAAGATGTTTTTACCTGCTGTGAAGCCGGCCCCAGCATCCGAAGTCTCAAGCCACCCGGGTCCGATGTATCCTAGCCCAACAAAGACACGGGATTAACGGGTAAAAGCCGTGCCAGACCTATTAATGTTAAGGCCCAAGAGATCTTCAACCTGCCTTGTACAGACCACACATGTGCTTAGGTCGCTGCCGATCGACTTCATTCTGGTGAGCCGACTCCAAGCTTGATCGGCCTCGCTTTCAGGGCTTCAGTTTCCCCTTGGGAGGGGTTTGGAAATTCATAATTTGAAGATTGGGTGTCTTATGGAAGATAGGAATAAGCTCCTGCCCTAGCAGATTTTTTAGATACCTAGTTCTTCTGTTTGTGGTTAGGATCCTAGAGATGTCTGCAAAGCTTCGGAGATCCTGAGGCCAGAATATGCAGTTCTCGGATTCGAGGCTCATGGGCCCTTCTTATGGATATCTTTACATCTGTCTTTATGTATTCAGATCTGATGCCTGACTGATTCTAACTGTGTGTATACAAAGAAGTGCCTTCATGTACGGGCGGGCACGAATGAACAAACACACATATATTGTCTAATCTCTGTACGTATATACACATATAGGATATTTCAAGTACATACAAACACACATGCCTAGAAACATCTATTCTCTTAGCTCTTTAAACAATAGAACGATCTGTCCATAAAAACTGCAGCATATAAGGCTTCTGAAGCTATACCGCCCCATGATAACCTCATGGAGCTGTGGGCCCGGTTTGTGTGCTTTTGTGACCAGGACTAGGCACCCATGCAGAGCAGTCGCAGAAGCAAAACATCAACATGCAGTCGCCCAGACCTTCTCAGCTAGACTGACAAGAAGCTAATCTGAATCCCCTTCTTAAATTCTTCGTCCACAGCACAAGGTGCCTTCCCGTCTGCCAAGGACCATTCCACTTGACATGTGATGAATTGTACACGGTGCTCCTGTCGGCAGTGGCTTCACAGTATATGTAACTTAATTGGGCCCGGGAGTACGAGGTCTTGGGTTTGGGGTGTTGGGGTTGGGTGTGGCGACCGTTTTCAGGCGGGCTCGCGGGGTGCTATGGTCAAGATAACATGCTTCGGAATAGTTGAACTTCAGGGATGAATCCTAGAGGGTCATACCCTACCTCATTTTTTTTAGGATATACCTAGTTTTATGGTTAGGTTCTCTTGTATAGAAAATGGTACCTGGAAAAGGGGTACAGGGTATTGACCCTATAGGAATGAGGTATAATTGGGTTCGGAGTTCCTGGCAACATCCTTAGACAATTTCGGTGTCCTCTACTTGTACCTGTCTGTCATATATCTACAGGTTTCGGTGGGGCTCACGTTACCTAGGGAATACAACTCCCGACAACTTAGAAGCGAATATGTTTCCCACATACAAGATATACTAGAACCCAAACTTGCAGCTTGCACAACTAGCTAACTGGAGTAAATGCATAGGATGATGGACATGCTGGATGAACGACCCGACCAGTCCGTCGGGATTTGCAATCTTTCGGTTCAAACACATTATATACTTATATATGTATATTACAGGCTTAAGGGTTTAATTATAAGCTGTCTCCATTGTAGTTCCTTTTCTGTGCTAACCATGTAAACATAGCTATATATAGAAGATCCTATTCATAAAGTCACCCCAGAAAGGATTTACAATGGAGACAGCTTATAATGTATGGGGTTTAGGGCTATTTTGACATAGCCAGTAACTGCCAGTAACAGTTCCGACCTCTCTGTTCGATATAGAGGCTCATACCCTACCCCTTTTTTTGGATACTATACTTTTATAAAATATATGGTTAGGACCTGCTACCTTGGAAAGTAGGCGCCTTAAAAAAAAGGGGTTGGGTATGAGCCTCTATATACTGCGTGATTAGTTTCCAGTTGCACTTAGGATAAGCGAGAGCCTGATCGGATTGCCTCCAGGGTAGCATGGCTTCGACAGCCAGTGGAGAACGAGTAGGGTTCATTAGGGTGTAAAGGGGTCTAGGGATATTATAGTTATGAAAATATATTATTGAACTATTATATAGGGTACTGCAGAGGTTTCGGGATATACGGGTTCGGTAGTTCTTTACATAGCAACACATGCACCCATGCTCGGCAGCCACCATGCCTAGACATGGATTGCATCGTCCTTTTCTACATATCTCGCTATGTGCATAGAAACACACACACACAGTCAGGAGATCTATTCCTTAGATTTTTTCGTTGTTGAAGGCAGGCAAAAGGTTGTGCAGGATCTATAGGTACCTGTACATAGCTCAAATACCAGAGCTTGGGAGCGAAGCAGCCAGAAATCCAGATGCAACCAGTGCAATTGTGCACCCCCAAGCTAGCTGCATTCGAGACTGCACTGACGAACATCGGCTATGTGCTGTCTACAATTGACTGCTCAGCGGCAAAGACCTGCAGACCCCACTGCATGGAGCTAAGGCGGGGAAGCACCTCCAGAGATCGCAAGCGAGGACCGTGGCATCGCATGCCATGCTGGGCGGACCTAGGGCAGTGGAGCAGAGTAGGAGCGGGGAGTGGTATTGGGTTTAGAAGCTTGCCCACAAATAATCATTAAAGGTCCACATATATACTCTTTGCACATAGTCATTGACAAATAAGACTATATACAAGTACCTCGGCCTCTTGCTCAGGATTCTTGCTTCGGGCATCCTTGGTTTTCAACTTTCGGTCTAGACAGCTTGGGACTTCAATAGGGCCTATCGGGATATCATTGTCTGTATACAGAATGAGGCTTGGATATGCCTGTGATTCTCGACTCAGGTTTGGAGCTTTGGTTTGCAGGGGCACTCGAAGTTTCTAGACATCTGCGGGACTGCTACATTGGGACCTTGAAATCAAAGGGGCATGCTGAGTTGGAGCTCCATGGGCTTTGGGAGTTGGCTTCAGCAAGACCTGTTCCGCACTGCTGCCGGCTGTTGGAATCTTGGGGCCTCTAGTTTTATGGAGTGAGCAATGGGGCTTTAGCAAGACCTGTTCTTCACTGATATATTGGGAGCTGTTCGAATCTTCGGGCTTCCAGCTTTGTGTCCTGGGCAATGGCTCGGCGCTTTTTTTTGGAGGCCACGAAGCACACCTTGAAGCCAGTTGCAACGAATGATCTAAATGCACAGGGTTCTTTAGGCCACTAGTGCTTCAAAGAAAGCAGCTTGCAGCATGTGCTATAAAGCTTGCAGAAAACAGGCCACAACATATAGGCTAATCCAAGCTGGGCCTGCTGCAGATGCATGTACTGCACGGGAAGACATCCATTGAAATCCGGTCTAGATTCGGCCGGTTAGGACAGAAAGGCTCTGTGTATTGAAATATTACGAAAAGAGATGTGGCAGTGTACACAGAATACCAAGAGTTTTCTGGGCCTATAGGCTTTACATATATGATGTGCCCTTAGAACATGCAGTCCGACCGCCCGAACATCCTATGAGCTCCCCTGCATCGAATTATAGGCTCGAAGCTCAAGCTCGAAAGAAGCTTCAGATCTCAGTCCCACTGGTGCAGGAGCTTTTCGTACTCCCGACGGAAGTTGGGATGCACGGCATTCCACTCTGGATGCGACTGCAGAAGGCGAACCTCCAGCCACACGGATGCCAGAGGCAATCTTTAAGTCCTATACCGAATGTGCACGGTTCTCAGGAGTGCAATCGAGAGACACAGGAGTTGAAGATTTGAATGCTCCGGGACATGCAGTGGTGACCACCCAAGTACAGGCACTGGATCCCACCATAGCCTTGCCTTATGCCGATGTGCCCTTTGGACCAGTATGGCATAATGTACCACCTCAGCTGAGATGTAGTCTGTCGTATAAGAGACAATGACAACGAACCCAACTTCTCACATAAATTACACTAGCAAAAACATATAATCTGTACCGTACCTGCTCGATCGAGGGGCTTCTCTAGCTTGTACACCAAAGGCTTAAGCTTCGATTTCAGCTCATCTGAGACCCTGCCCCACGTCTTCTTGCTGGCATCAAACTCCTGGCCTTTGTCATCTTCGAAAGCTTGAAGCTGTGCATTCAGCCTGTCCACGGGGTGCTCCATCGATGCTGGAACCTCGGCCTCTGCAAGGTTTCTCTTTGCCTTTTTTTTGGCACTGGCTTTCTTGGGAGCAGCTTTCGCCTTGGTGCTCGAACAGTCCTCGGAAAGCTTGGTCGAAAGAGATCGGCGTAGCTTAGCAGCGAGGCCCTTGCCACCACCCTTCCCCCTTCCCCTTCCTTTGCCCTTTCCCCGCCCAGCTTTGCCCGGACCACCCTTTCCCCGACCACCCTTTCCCCGGCCACCGTTGCCCCGACCACCCTTTCCCCGGCCACCCTTTCCACGGCCATTTCCCCGGCCGCTTCCCTGCCCTCTGCTCTTGGCAGCAGGCACGGCTGCCTCTTCGTCACTCGTCTTGGCCCACTGCTTCTTGGCAGCATCGGAAAGGGTTTTCTGCATGGCACGTGTGAGGGGCTCATCCATACCAACTTTAAGCTCGGCAGCAGCCTTCGCAATCAAAGACTTCGTCAGGTGAACGTGGCGGCTGTATGCATCCATGCTCGGCAAAGCCCCTTCAACTGCATTCGAACTCAGACCTCGTAGAAGAGTTCTGGGCTTGGGGATCTTTGGCTCGGGATGGACAGCCTGAGCCCCATCGCTTGGACAATGCATGGGCTTCGACAGTAAATCTATTCCGGGGCACGGCAGCACCAGTCGACTCATGAAGCCAAGCAGCTGCATCATCAGTCTCCAAGTCCACTGCCAAAGATGAGCTTGAGAAAGATTGCCCAAAAGGAGGTTGGGCATCGTGTGGCCACCTCGAACATATGTGAATTCAGCATATATGCTACATACACGGAATCACGGTGTGTACATCGATCTTCTTATGCACTGGTGATTGGGCTCACACACAGATGCAGGGAATAATTCTCGAAACAAGGAGCTCAGGCAGCACTGCATCTCGTCGGCGCTCGGGAGATGCATTCGGCATCAAAGTCATCCCCTGCAGAACATACAAGAGTTCGTGACAATGCAAACACCTGTATGCTCATGCTTCTCACATAAAACTCGTTCTGCACAGACACAGGATGCCTTGGCAGGGCATGGTGTGCTGAGGTCAACATAGTAATCCTCCTTGGCTGGCATGACACGGACATACATGCCTTATGTATGCACCCATGTATACCATGCAATTGAAGCACCAATGGCTGTGTCTCCATGTTGTCGGCAGCTGGAACCCAGCTCGAGCCCCTCCTCACCGTAGCTCGTGAAACTCGATCCAACAGCTTTCGCCGAAGAATGCCTAAGCTTGAAGAGTTCATTCGACATACCACATGATATATACGGATGCACAAGGCAAAGCTTGATCCTAGCAGGGTGGCTTTTGAGAATCGCCGATGTCGAAGGCTTAGGCTTCGGGGTATACATATGAAGATCGTCATCATCGGATTCGCAGGTCTCCAAGGCAGCTGCAGCTTTACGAAGCCCTGCCATAGGGGTTGCCACATGATGAACATCCTCTGCACATGTAGCCGAGGCTTCGTGCCCTGAAGCTTCGGCGGGAGCGGGCTTTGGCTCGGACGAAAAGATCTCCTGCCAGAATCGGCTGTGAGTATGCAACCACCCCTGATCCATTAAGAATAAGATTTAACCCGAGCAACAACCTCAATCATTTAGCTGCCTTCTAAGCTTTAAGAAAGAAGAAGCGGTTGATCTTTATGCAAAGTAGAACATACAGTATAAACCCTGTAATATATCTTCAAATCCCCGCTAAGATTTCCAGCAATACCTGGAGGCTCATACCCTACACCTTTTTAGGGCGTCTACTTTTGGGATAACAGATCCTAACCATAAAACTAGGTATCCTTAAGAAGGGGTCGGGAATGAGCCTCCAGGTATATAATATTCGAATGCAGGGTTCGTATCCTCCTCACCCGGAGCTGCAATGTCGCCAACGGAAACAGCCGACACAGTACTAGCCGAACCCAGTGACCTCGAACTACCCGAAGAATCAAGGGCCAACGGGATAGGTCGGTCTGGATCAGCATCTGCTTCTGCACCGGCTGCAGGGGTGTTCTTTCTTGCTTTGCTAGCTTTCTTGTTCAAGTAGCGGATCTCGAAGTCGGGCCTGGGGTGGTAGTCTGCCAGATCCGGGTAAACCACTACAGCATAGCTTTTCCGGAAGACCTGAGCCACGACATCGCCAAGTTTCTTGAAGCTTCTGGGTCTGTGAGTTACTTGCATAGATGCATAACTCAAGTACTTTGTGCAATCAAGTTGTGCCCGCTGGCTTCGGTCACAAGCATAACCTCTGGCATTCGCTGATGGCGGGATCTCTCAGCCAACCTCTTACAGTAATGAAGCATCTTCTTCACCACATGTGCAGTCTTCCCAAGAGGTTTCGCTGTAGGACGTGGAACCTGAATTTCAACATATCTCAACGGTCAATCGCAACAGTGCTTAATCCCCAGAAAAGAAACCACAATGGAAACACTTTGCAACTCTGATTGGCAACAGCTGCCGCTGTGAAGAGCTGTGCCACCAGCGGTGTAAGCACCGGCACTGTAGCCACAACTTCGGCTTGCCCATATGCATGGACGAGAGGCTTCAACAGATCCTCCGTCGGCAAATGTCGGCATGATGATGTCACAAAGTCTACTCTGTGTATGTAGTGCATGACTAATGCCGTGCAGGGTGGCTTTGTTCATGGCCACCATGTTCTCCGTGATATGATCAATCTCGTCTAGATCAGGAGGCATCAGCAAGATCTTCTTGCAGGAGCAGATGCGAGGAATCATAGCTGCACAAGCAAGGAGCTCCTGCAACACACATCTCCAAATGAGCTGACACTTGAAATCTAGGTCGCAAGAGGAACACACCTGCGAAACAAACATCCTTGAAAGCATCCGTCATGAGCAAGCGAAGTGGAGGAGCCCAGACATCAGGCCACACTGGCGTGTACTTGTCCATGATCGGCAAAGGACAAAACACAAAGCAAAACTTGAGCCTACATCGATGCGAGACGGAGGTCGTTGCAACACTTGCATCGCTTCACACAGGCCAGCCAAGGCCCCGACCCCCTGCTTCGGAGAGCAGATAAGATCTTTGAGCAAAATTGCTCCGACAACGGCCGGGCACCAGTGCGACTGCCTTCGAAGCACGACATAAGGTTGATTTCTCCTGAAGCACGAACGGAGAATTGAGAACCCGCAAGTTCTTTGACATGATTTTGGCAACCCGCAAGTTCTTAGTCAGACCAATTATTCTTAGATGACCAACAAAAGGGGTAGGGTATGACCCTACAGGCATACTATACCCCAAAACCCCATGCTACTTATTAAGGCCCCTACATTAGGCGGAGGGTTTCGGGGTTTAGGGTTGTAATCCCAAATGCCCTATGCCCTGAACCTTGGAGCAGGGATCCTGATCCCTTCCGACCTTGGTCCCACCTTTTGAGGCTAAGGTTCTTGCAATATAGGGGATTGAACAAAAAGGGTGACAAGTATGCTTGTATTCAGAAAAAGCTAAGGTATGGGTAATGTTCTTGCAATGGGGTTTGAACAGAAAGGCGGACAAGTCTGCTTGTATTCAGAAAACGGTAAGGTACGGGTAATCCTACATTGCTTCCCGTAAACCCTAAACCCTAAACCCTAAACCCTAAACCGTGCCTTTCAGCCCCGAGGAATTCAACGGCTCCTTCTCCGGAGCAAATCCACCGCTTTCTGGGCAGCCAGACGCCTGAGGCTCCGGGATGCCTTGCCCTAAATCCCAAAATCCTAAGACACTAAAGCCCTCAAACCCTCTAATAATCTAAACCCTAAGCTCAACATCCTAAAATCCTAAAACCCTATAAACCCAAAAGTCCCAAAGCATGTGATGTTGATCTCGTCTTGAGTTGCTGTGTATGTCCCCATACGCTCCTTCTCTGCGCTTTCCCTCTTGATCCGAGACGAAGAAGTTGAATCCTACGGTTGAAATCCTCGGGTTCCCTTAAAGGGGCCTATAAGGGTTCCTTTAAGGGATCTGTAAGGGTACCTTTGAGGGATCTGTAAGTGATCTATAGGGTGTTAGGGTTAAAGGTTTATGATATTAATCCTGCACTACCATAATGACCCCAGACTATGGAATTATGGTACATTCCTTATTATGGGTAATGCAGGATTTATGTCATCAACCGTATCCACCCGGAACGATCGAACCAGTCGGAAGCCAAGATCCTATATCCAACTCTAAAGCCTGTCTCTTGTAAGGGCTGGATTCTGGAAATAAGGCCCTAACCCTTAAACCCCTAAGCCCTAAACCCCAAACCCCTAAACCCCCAAAACCCTAAACCCCCAAAGCCCTAAACCCCTAACCCCCAAAACCCTAAAGCCCTAAACCCTAAAGCCTGCAGGGTTCTGGCCTGGTTTCTGCCAGCGAGCTGCTCGGGCGCGCAAGGAGATGTCAAGTCCTGCAATGTCATTTTAGGGGCCTTAAAAATTGGAACAGGGGGCCCCTTAAAGGGATCCTATACGGGATACGTTTTAGGGATCTATAAGCTTTTTAAGGGCACTATACACTATAATATAAGGGCCTTACTAATTAGAACTGTGGTTTTTGGGCCCATTATATCATACTTATAATAAGGAATCCACCCAAATAGCATTAGTAATTGTTTAGGCCCCTGTAGAAGACCTTTGATTTCCTGTAGGAGTGTTTTACGTGAGCTGTAAGGCTTTTACGGGCTTGTTTAGGATTTGGGATTAGTTTAGACCCTTTGGGGGTATTGGAAGACCGAATAGGGTTGAGGAGTGTAGGATTGGACCCCTATTGTAATCCTTCTTCAGGGAGCGGGGCGTATGAATCCGGTCTGCATGGAGCATCAGAGCTCCTTTGTTACAGCAGGAGACTGCGATGTAATCTAGGGGTCTTACTAACTAGAATGGGATTTTGGTTTATAGTGTGATAGTCAGGCGTCTATACTTTTCCGGGGGTATGTGTGCTGATATCCGAAGCCATTCATCGCCAGTCCCCTGCTGAGCATATCTTCAAACCCTCAAAGGGGAAAAGGAGGGACCCTTAATGGGTACCCCTACCCTATGATGGGCTATATAATGGGTATATAACAGCTATATTAAGGGTATATACCTAGGGGTCCTATTAAGGGTCCCTCCTTTTACCCTAAACCCAACCCTAAACCCTAAACCCTAGACCGAAAACTAAACTCTAAACCCCCAAAATCCAACCCCAAACCCTGAAATGCAGAAGCCCAAGCCTTCTCACTAACACCAAGCCCGGGTCACTAGCGACAAAGAGAAGCCCTGGACGGTTGATGATATAATTACTGCACTACCTTAAGGGTCCTAAACTATGGGAATTATGGTATATTCCTTAGCATGGGTAATGCAGGATTTATATCATCAACCGTATCATCATATAAGCACCCAAGCCCTGAACCTTGCTTCCGATGTTTCATATAGGTGGTTGTCAAAATTATTGTCCTTTTTGGGTCCTTAATATTATCCGGCCCCGAATATTTAAAGTGCCCAAACAGCGGCCATAATTTTGAAAGCTACCCCTAATATTTAAAGTACCCCAAAAGGGGCCATAATTTTGAAAGCTACCCATATAGAAGATCGATTAATCAGAAATATCATCCTGTGTGGGGCCCCTAAGCTCCATTCTGGAGATGGGGGTTTCCGAAAATTAGGAGTACCTTATTTGGGGTCCTTGCAATAAGGATCCTACTATTTAGTACACCGATCCCCCACAGGACCCTTGTGAAGCTTCGCAGCCCTTATGGTACCCTTTGCAGGCAGAGTAAGGCTCTACTTGGAGCAGCAGGGGACTTAGTAAGTAAGGTTATAAGTACCCTACTTGGGCTTATAAGTACTCATAAATGTTAGTATAGTTACCTTATTTATAACGCTAGTTACTAAGCCCCATGATCCTTTAAGTAGGCCCTAAACCCTAAACCCCATAGATCCCTTTAAGGAACCCGATAGATCCCTTTAAAGAGCCCTTTAAAAACCCTTACTAAGTCCCATGCTCCTTTAAGTATCCTAAACCCCTATAGATCCCTTTAAGGAGGCCTTTGAAGGAACTAAGTCCCATGATAGTTCAAGTATAGTAGGTCGGCCCAGGCCCTGTTCTCCTTCCACCTGGCGGCGACTGCATGGACTTCTCCTGGACATGGCAATTGGCTCCAAAGCGAACTACTTCTTGGGCTACGGCGCGGGTTCAGGGCTTCTGTGCTCCAGGATTCGAGGTCCAGGGTTTGAAGGTGTTGGGGTTTAGGTCGTCTAGGGTGTGGGGTGTAGGGCTGAAGGCTTAGAATGTGGGTTTCGTTTCAGCCTCGGCTGGTGGGCTCTTACGAGAAAAGCCCTCAAGTCCTAAGCTCTAGTAAATCATTTGCACATCCTGATCGCCACTTGGAGGATCAGGTGAATTAGTAAGTAAGTAAGGTTATCAGTGACCCATCTGGGGTTACAAGTAAATTTGGAAGTCATTGTAAGTATAGTAACCTTGTCTGTAACCCCAGTTGCTAAGTCCCATGATCCTTTAAGCAGCCCTTAACCCCATCATTACAGAACCCTCAAAGATCCCTGTGATGGAATCCTGTAAGAAAACCCTAAGTCCCATGATCCTTTAAGCAGGCCTTGTGATGAATCTCTAAACCCCGCCTGAACCCGCCGAAGCTTCGATTCTCAAAGCCGTAAGGCCAAAAAGCATCCAACTCAAAGCTCCACAATTGTGAAGGTTTAAGGGTTTGGGAGTTTAGGGTTCTGGGGTTTGGGGTTTAGGGTTTTAGGGCTTACCCTAAGGCTCCCGGAGGGGTCATGGGCTTTCTGGGGGAGGGTTTGGGCTTTGGGGGCTAAGGTTTGGGATCTCACTGCGAGGGTCCAGGAGCCTCAGGGTAGGGCTTAGGGTTTCAGGAAAGTGCGGACTCCAAGGTTGTGAGCAGGTGCTGCATCGCCCTAAGTGCAGCAACAAGCCAATGCTGGAGGAAGCTAATTAACTTACTAAGTCCCCTAAACCCTAAACCCCTAAGTCCCCTGATCCTCCGAGCTCCACTCCTTAAATCAAAGGGGAAAGGAGGGACCCTTAATAAGGACCCTTAGATACATACCCTTAATATGGCAATTCTGTAGCCATTGTATGGCCCATTATAAGGTAGGGGTCCCCATTAAGGGTCCCTCCTTTTCCCCTTTGCCCAACCTTAATCAGGTTCCTACAGTATTATAGTACCCTTATATGTGCCCGCGCTCCGCGTTCTCGACCCCCCCCCCCCCCCCCCCCCAATGGTATCCCCCCCCCCCCGACCCGGGCGACCACACAACAAGAACAAGAACAAGAACAAGAAGAAGAACAGCAGCAACAACAAAGCAGCAGCAACCACGCGGAGGAACCACAGGAACCACAGGGGGGGAGGGGGGAGACAGGAACCAGAAGAACCACAAAAGGGAGGGGGAAAACCAAGAGGAACCACAGGGGGGGGGGAACCACAGGAACCACAGGGGGGGGGAGGGGGATTACCATGGGGGGGGGAGGGGGGGGGTGAAACCATAAACCTCTAAAGGGGTAGCTCTAACAGGTACCTACAGCAATGGCTGCATGCTCATACATATACATTCCGCTGCCCATTGGCTCACAGTGGTTTTACCATATTGAGACAAGACAAGCTCTCCTTGCGTAGCAAGACAAAACAACTACTGTCCGTGTGCAGGGCGCTGCCCTTTGATCCTTAGGGAATAACTGGTCATACACCTCCTCACAAGGAGTATCCCTTGGGGGTGTATCGGCACAGTTTTCTGGTAGC